TTTATTATTTTGCTCCTCATTAGTTACTGTAGATTCCTTCGACAGCCTAGATACAGGTTTATTTAGATCACTAATTTCACTGCGTAATTTAGTATTTTCATCATACAATTTAGAAACTACCTCTTGAACCTCAGATAATTGATTATTTACCGTTTGAACATACGAACTTATAATTCTAGTGACTATGGCCTCCATTTCAATAGAATCCACAGTCATCGATGTAGGTAATGGTAATGCCTTAGACTTAATGTTTGAAAGTATATTCACACTACAGAATTTACACCCCCATGACCTTAGTTTACTCTAATTATTTTTTATATGCTGAAAAGTATCATCATCAAAACCAGCACATAAAACATGATAAGATGAACCACAGTGTTTAGTGCAGGAGATGAAGTCCTCCTGTCTACTTATCTGCTTAGAGCATTTCCCACACTTAATCGGCATATCGAAAGTGCTGTTACTGTCACTCTTTCTCCTAATAAAGTAAAAGTTGTAACACTTCTCACAATAAATTAAAGTTCATCGCCTACAGTAACCCCCAAGTTCGACCCCCACTGAGGGCCAAAAAAAACAAGAAAATAAACCAAAACTCCCTAAATATAAAGGAATATAAAACCCCCGGACGAATAGATAAATGTGTCACGGCGCAGTTAGACACCTCCCGCACCAGCGTTCAAAGAAACTTATCGCTATTAAGCAAAAACTTGAGTAATGATAACTTCAGAATCCCACCAATAACTACAGCCAAAACCAAATATTAGTCCCTCAGGGGGAAAAACCCTATGAACAAACCCTGAAAACCACCCACCAACAACCTTGTAATGCAGTTGCCACAAAATTCAATAATTCAATGGGTAGATCTCACCAGAATTTGGCCAAAAAACTGAGCAGCACAAACACAGGTAGCACATCTGCTATCGCAGGTGAGGTATATCTGTTTTTCACAAAAAATGGGTAATCCCCTCGGACCCCTTAACTTTATGGATTCGATCATGCATATGTTTGCCACAACAAGTTCTTAGAAATGTATTTTGACAAGTGATAACCCAAACTTCCCGCCTTAAATTGACACTTGAAAATTCAAAAATTTAAAATTTGGCCTTGGCTGTGAACGTCGTTCATACAAGTGAGCATAAACTGCGTGCGAGTCGAGTGCTTCTCAGCACCAAAAACCCCCTAAGGTTTTTTCACCCACATATAATACAACACAAACGAAACATATAAAACATGAAAGAAAGAGACAGACATACACATATAGAAAACCGAACAAATACTTTAAAACCCTACACATATGTAAAATGGATGGCAGCACCCGAGTCGCTATAAGAGTGTGGCGATCGAAATATCAATTTCATTTTCGAGCACAACAAAATTACCCGTAGATGGCGTTGTAGCAGGTGCAGGATTTGGGGCTCCTGGTCGTGGCTGTCCTCCTACCCACAACGGTGATTCTTTTCTATCGCAAGCACCTGCCGTACGAGCAGGTCGTTAAGGTCTTAAATTCGTGGTTCGACAGCGTCACGTCATCTGGACCTTTCTTGACTTCTATTCAAGGCCTGCATCCTTTTTCAAATAGCGCGACCACCAGTTCAACAAGAAACCGCCCACTGCGCTTCCGCCACGTGTTGCATTGCATTATTTACCTCAGTTCTATTTACATGTTCAATCTCTATGACTCTAATATTAAACTACAACCCAACAAGTGTTAAAGTTCCCAAAAAGGAGCAATTAACAACATTTAATTCTCCATACACTCTCGCGGAGTTTTAAACAGCAAATAATCCTTATTTGAGATTAAGGTTGGACGTCAGAAAATTTATATGATGCAAGCATTAATCAACAAAATATTTACATGAAAAAAACTAGCAAAGATTTACAAAACAAAAAATATCTGGTAACAAGTAAAAACGTGTGCAGATAAAATGTTAGGTAAGGTCAGGAACTGCAGAGCATGAACACCTAAAACACATGTTAAATAAGGTCAAAAACACAAAATGTTGTTCGATACACACTTCGCTTTGAGATATGTGTCCGAGCATAAGCGTTCCAAAATCGAAGCTCAAGACCTCATCAAACATAACACAAAATCAACATAAAAGACGCTTTCCATCTTCGAATTCACGACAATTACTTCGCTGTTAACTTTCAAAGAGAATCAATGCTTAAGATTAAATCGTTAATACTGTTAATTGCTATTTTAAAATTTCCAAATGAGAATCTATTCAATTTAAATAATACTTATTAGAACTAAGAAAAACTCTCCATCATTTCACAATTTATAATATTATTATTAATTTATGATGTTACTTCACTTGTATAACGTTGCTTATTTCTTCGGTGTCTTACAAGAATATAATATTTGCAATTAATCCAAGAAATTCATTAGTTTTACTGTTGTTCTTAGTTTCTAAAAAATTTTTTACTTAGAAAATATCTGCCTTTTTTGCGATCTATATTACAATTTCCTATAAAAATGTGTAAAATCTTTTTAAGACTTTTCTATTAAAGAGATAAAAGATAAGTTCGATCGTTCTCTTGCAAGAACCAATGAACGGCTTCACACCGCTTGCATCTAACAACCTTGCCTCAACTAGCAAGTATTCCGCCGAAGCTCTCTATTACTGCACCCCAGTCAGAAACTTCAACAGTCTTAACAACCTCATTGTCGGCAACTCAAACCACAACTTGAACAATAATCGGGCTTAAAAATCCTCCTGGCGACAGTTTCGATAGTTATTTGGTCGATCCTTTCTTATATTAGTTTCGACAATACCTAATAACTTTTATAACATTTTGTTTCATTTTAGTAGAAAACTGAACATAAGAAATATTAAAAGCAAGCTAAAATCAGCTTTTACACAAGGTCAGTATCGTATACTTCCAACTTTATTGTTACGAGAACGTGCGAACCTATAAAATGGTATAAAAGGATTCAAATAAAGTCAGAAGAGTTATAGCTATTTAAATCTCTTTAACGCACTTTTTAGAGAGCTTCACGCTGTGCGAATAACACAGCGAATCTTGTTCTTGTCCTCTGTTTAATTTACATGGTTAGTGGAGCAAAACGACCATAATTTGTTTCGGGTTTACTTTTTGCTTCAGGTGTTCATCGATTTTGTTCGACGGAAGAATGATGGAAATGGGGAAATATAAAACAATAAAGTTATATCTGGATACCAAGACTGGTATTAAGAAAAATGTGTAAAATGTTTTTCTGAAAGCAAATTTAATTAGACAAAATCTTGTTACAGAAGGATATTGTAAAGATTTTTTCCATGTTTTAATTGCAGTTGGAATATTTTCTGGATACTTTTTTAATCATCTTTTTTTTGTGTAAGTTGCCGCACTCTACAAGAAATAATGTCGTTATATAAATCTTGGCAAAGTTTAAAAAATTAGTAACTACTTACTGCGCTGGCAGGAAGACAAGTTTGATCAAATTAACTTATCGACGACTAACGACAAAAAACCTTTCCAATATTATCGTACTCCGGAAGTTTCCAAGTAATAACAGTCAACTTGTAACTATGTGACTATACCTCTCACTAAATTGACAATAGTTAAAGCGTTAAAAAAATAGGTGTGTAAAATCGGAAAAATTTCATCAGTCAAGAACTTTTCCGGTCTTTCAAGAAATTGGTACAATGCTGCAGCAGCTTTAACTAAAATCAATGCGTCAATGTAACGACCTTTCGGCTTCGCGCTGCACATTTTGACTATAAATTTGCAAGGAAAGATATTCGCCAAATTGTTTTAAAGAGTCGTTTGTTTTCCACCATTTTGTAGATTTAAAATTTGTCCTGCAGTGAAGAGAATAGTTATTAAATAGCAAGGAATGTAGGAACGTCTTAAAATTCGTGGAGAGCTTAATCTGTCAAGGCATTTTGCCGAGGTCTTATTAATTTCAAGAATGTTCAAACCTTAATACATTTCAAGTTACTTTATTATGTTTTTCGCTCTACTGATTCCAATTAACTTAAAATAATACGAAAATGTTGGATTTAAATCAAGAATTAATTTTTTGTTGACAGAAAATGTCATGAAAACGAAAGCAATATAAATCTAAAATTATTTTGATGTAAATTTTATACTTAGTTAAAACAAAAGCAGTTGATTTAATTAATGAAATTGTTTGATTCATTTATTAACATTTTAAATGTTCTGTAGAACTAATTCAAGAAAATAAATATGCAAGTTATAGGTTCTAGTATGTACGGCGACGATAACTCATCGTCGATGACGGCGAGCGGGCGGCGTTCGCCAAAGAAAAGCCTAGAAGCGGAAATCACGATTGGGAATCCAGAAAGACCTCGACTGCGGAACTTCCAAATGGGAAGAGTATGGCTTTAAATTGAGGCCACCTTCGGGAACGATTATTATGCAATTGAGTCGAGTTATTTTGTATATAATTGCTGCGTAATTAATTGTGTAAATTCGATTTAGTAAGAAATAAATTGTTGAGTTTTACCCACACCTATTTTAATCACCGATCATCCTAACAATATATGTAATACTCCTAATAATTTTTTGAGATTAAGTATTTAAAGTTGTAAAAGTAGAGAATAAATACATTTCAGTTGTTGTTGTATAATTAATATAACAATGTTAGTATTATTTATAAGCTAGATAACCAATGACAAACTCAGAAAAAATTTAAATTGAGAATATATACAACTAGTCAATCAAAATATTTCAATAATTAATTTTTAGTAAATAACGGCGCCAAAATTAGAAGTCTTCTACAAAATATTTACGACATTCATAATCTAATCTCCGACTTTTAACTTTATTATTGAGAAAAGAAATGTCAGCACTGCCTCTCAGTCCCACGATCATTTCATTAATTCAGCATAAAGCAATAAACTTTAAATAGCACTTCCCATTGTAACACAATAAAAAACTGTACTAAACTAAAACTTGTGGGTTTATCTTTTACAATTATAAATCATCCAAATTGCAACTGACGCAAGCAAACAAATAACGAAAACATTATCACTGTTTGCGTACTGACAAAGTACTTTTTCGAGTACTACCTTGTTATACGTACTAGTGTTTCCGACGTGACAATTATTATTAGTCAATTAAAAAAATGTCAAAAACAGTAGCCGTATTACTGGTTTGCACCTCACTATGTGTGCTCGTAAATACACACCCTAAAAACAAAGGTACTACTAGATACAGCAGTTCATTTTTATCTATTTCTGTTTATTTATTTTTCTAAGAAACACGGATCATTGGTGGAGAAGTAGCCCGAGCGGGACAATTTACATGGCAAGCAGCAATTTATGTGACAACTGCTGACGGGACGTACTTCTGTGGAGGAACTATTATAAGCTCTCAGTGGATCCTAACAGCTGCACAATGCGTGTATAAGTAAGATTTAATATTCTTTTTAAACATCAAACTAAAGTCGAAAATTTAGTGCGATTCAATTCACCATTCGTTTAGGTGTATTTGATCTCACAGTAAATGACGAAAACGAACTCTTATTATCTACATCTTTATACACGATACATCCAGATTACAATCCACTTACTCTTGAACACGACGTTGGGCTCATTCAACTTCACATGCCAATCACTTTTACCGGTAGACGCTTATATCTTTCACTAAAAATTATAATTTCGCAATTTTAGATTATATCGAAAAAGTTGACTTGGTAAATGTGGGTCAAACGAACGTAGGAGATCTAGTCGGAGCGTCAGGGTGGGGGCAAACTAGTGATGGTACTCCAAGAAGTACTCAACCTGAGCAGTTACTACATTAAAAGTTTATATTATTTACAGACGTTGCTGAACTTTCTGATCAACTAAATTTCGTAACTTTGGTAATAATATCCAACACTGAGTGTCAAACAACTTATGGTAGTCAGATTAAAGATGGTATGCTTTGTGCTATCGGCAACTATAACCAGGGTATTTGTCTTGTAAGTATAAAAATATTAAATGATATAATTTTTGGCGGATAATTTTTGCAAAAGGGTGACATTGGTGGCCCCATTGTTAAACCTGATGGGTTTGGAAATGCCATTCATGCCGGAATTTCGAGTTTTACGAGTTTAAATGGATGCGAAACCTTAGAACCTTCGGGATTTACAAGGACGGATGTATACCGTGAATGGATTTTAAATGTAACTGGGTCTCTATAGACGTGTTATTGAAGATTCATTGTAATGTGTTTAATAATAAAACTATAATAACATGTATGGAATGAAGTATAAACCAAAATGGACTACAAATGCAATGGTATGAATTTATAAAGAATTGTGATTACGAAATCGATCAATTGTGTCCATCTTTAGTGTTAAATGTATATTTTTGTAGTTCTTTGTATTTAAAGTAAGTATTGTTTATGCGTAATTCATTATGCGCACACATAGCTTACTTATAAGAGTAAAAGTAATATGACTACCTTGATTCTTCTAGGTCGTCAAAAAATAGCTCTCTTTCCTTCGCTTAGAAAGTGGATGTTTTCAATTCTGTGAATAAAACGTCATTTTCTCACAGGTTAGCGTCAGCTTTCTTTTTCCAGACTTGTGTTCCATGGCTAACTCGATCCACTCATCTTCCGCCGTCATTTAATCGTTTAAACACAAGCTGACAATTTTACACAAGAAGATTGAGATAAGATGCCATTGTCAATTTAATATTAAGATTTATACTATGGCCCACTTTAGACGATATATCAAGAACTGTACACTTACACTTAAGTTATCTATGTCTAAGTGTATTTATCCACACATGATTAACAAAACTATTTCAATCCTGATCAAAGCAGTTTTCAAAATATAATCTGTGTCAAGTTGATGAAAAGTACAATACAGCTGATTGTTATGAGCATACATAATATATAACTTGGATTAAGTGATCGTACATCTCGTATGTAGAAAATAAAACCAAGAAGTCCAAGACACAACCTTGAAATATACTAGAAATAAGATTTATAAGAACTGATTAATTGTTGTTACAACCCATAACTTGTTGACAATCAGTAATTAATGAATAATTATACAGTTAACTTAAGGAAGTACCAGTCAAACCATAATAATTATGTTTATAGAGAAGTGACCCGACATTTAAACTATCAAATGCAAGCGATGGTTTCACAAGAAGGCTTTAAAGTGGCAGAGGGGTAGACCTAAAATGTTGACGATAAAATATTACAATACAAAATAAAAATACTAATCGCAACAAAATAGACTAGATTGCAAAATACATGACATCTTCATGGTGGTGCTTTTGAAATAATTTGATTTACGGGACAGGACCATATTGTTACGAAATACGCCTATGGGTTTTCTGGAGGGCTTTCTAGTATGCATGGCGACGATAGGTGACTCATCGTCGGTGACGACAGCCGGACGGCGTTCGCTAAAGAAAAGCCTGGAAGCGGAAGTCGCGATGGGTTCTCGAGAAAAACCTCGATCGCGAAATATCTAGCAAGGAAGTATGGATTTAAATAGAGGACACCTTCAAGAACAAGGCATGCAGTAAACGAGAAAATAAACACAATAATATGTAACAAAGTCTACCATTCGCTAATTTTGTAGTTTTTCGTCAGTAATTGTAGACATTCCTAACCTACTTTGGTTCAGACCACTTCCACTACACTTTGAGTTTTATAGTAGCTACCAAGAATTGAAATCTCTAATTGTTGGTAAGCAACTAGAAACCAAGTAGTAATATTTTGCAAAATATTTATGACTTAATGAGCTAATCCTCGAATCTTAAATTTATAACTGAGTAAATAAATACCAGCAACCGGACTTATCACTACATCGAAATATAAAGCCCTACTAAACTACAATTGGTGGATTTATATTTTATGACCCAAATTGAAACTGTCACACTCAGTTAATAATTAACGAATACAGTACCAATGTTTGCGTTTTAATCACAAAAATGTTTCAAGTACAATTAAGTTATACACAGTAACGAACACTAGGCTTCTGCAGTGATAATTATTATCCATATTATAAAATATTATCTATATAAACACAATATACAGTCTATAAATAATAATAAGTGTGAAATAACAACACAGTAAAAAAAATGTCGAAAACATTAGCGGTACTACTTGTCTACACCTCACTATTTGTATTCGCACACACTTTTCCCAAAAACGGAGGTAATACTATATATACAAGTTCATTTCTATATTATTCTTTTTATTTAAGAAACACGGATCATTAGTGGAGAAGTAGCTCGAGCGGGACAATTTACATGGCAGGCAGCAATTTATGTGACAACTGCTGACGGGACGTACTTTTGTGGGGGATGTCTTATAGGCGCTCAGTGGGTTCTAACAGCTGGGCAGTGCGTCTACAAGTAAGATTTAATTTTCAAGGCAAACATCAAACTAAAGCGAAAAACTCTAGTGCAGTACAGTTCACAATTCGCTTAGGAGCATATGACCTCAAAGTAACGGATCCAAATGAAGTAGTACTGTCTACATCTTTATACACAATACATCCAGATTACAATCCACTTACTCTTGAAAACGATGTTGGGCTTATTCAGTTTCACATGCCCATCACATTTACCGGTAGATATTTACATATTTAATTAAGATTTTTGATTTAAAAATTTTAGATTACATCCAAAAAATTGACATGGTAAGCATCGGACAAGTAGGTGCTACAGATCTTGTGACAGTGTCAGGGTGGGGACAAACCAGTGATGGTACATTAACACGTCCTTAATCAAAGTGATTTTATTAGCAGTTTCTGTTATTTGCAGATGTTGCTGAACTTTCTAATGTACTAAATCACGTAACACTGGTACTAATATCCAACACTGAGTGTCAAACCACCTATGGTTCACAGATTAAAGACAGTATGGTTTGCGCTGTCGGTAACTACAATCAGGGTATTTGTATTGTAAGTTTAAAAATATTGAAGGAAATAATCTTGTCGTATTTATTTTGTGAAAGGGTGACACTGGTAGTCCTGGTATTAAACCTGATGGGTTTGGTAACGCCATTCATTTGGGAATTGCGAGTTTTGTGAGTATAAATGGATGCGAAACTGCAGAACCATCGGGATTCACAAGGACGGATATATATCGTGACTGGATTTTGAATGTAACAGGGCCTCTATAGATTTTTATCGAAACACTGTTACTGGAAATTCGTTGTAACGTGATTTATAATCAAACTGTAAACAATTAATAAATTGAAATAGTTATTAAGGTATTTAGGGGGTTATGAAATAAATAACGTACGAGGTCGACAGTGTACTCCCGAGGGCGTCCCGCCCGAGGGAAAGTACGTCGGCCGAGGGTGTTATGTTCATAACCCCCGTGGTGCCTTCAACATTTTATGTCATCCTTACCAGCAAAAGTTTATAAATAAACACAAAATTCCAAAAAAAAGCTTATTCCCGTAATTTAACGAAAAAATCGACCTACCTTGGTCACTAGCAACGGCGTTGTTTACTAAATGAAAAATTGTGTGACAGGTGCAATATTACAAAATGTACGACGAAAACTTGCCGGAACGTGTTTTGGCAAGTGCTGCAAAAGCTGTGGAAGGAAGAATTCCAGTGAAATCGAAATCTGTTTACGAAAAAGAATATTCCCGCTTCATTCAATGGACAAACGACAATTCAGTGAAGACCGTAAATGAAACCGTTCTGCTTGCTTATTTTCAAGAGCTAACTGCGGATTTTTTTCCGAATTCGTTGTGGACTAAATTTCCTATGTTAAGGAAAGAATTAATGGTTAAAAAAGTGGTGAATAGTGCTAAAAAGTTTTCCCAATTGGAGGCCTATTTAAAGCAACGCTCAAAAGGCTACCAACCAAAAAAATCAAAGGTACTAACACGGAAACAGGTCTTAACGTTTCTTAAAAACGCTTCAGATGAATCTTTTCTGATGATTAAAGTCGCTTTGGTGATGGGTGTGTTTGGAACGTGTAGAAGGGATGAGCTTGTAAAAATGAAGCGCAGCGATGCTTGTGATATGGGTGAGCACATACTCGTCAATATACCAGCTTCGCCACAGTGCCAGAAGTATACGTGGATGATAGCGAATGTTCCAAACGGAAGAATACTCGTTTAGTTTCTGGCGTAAACAAGTCAGTTGACATCAAAAAGTCAAGTCAATTTTCAAGTGTTACAGATTCCAAAGGTGTTAATTTTTCAGGTCACTTTACTAAGTGTACTTTTGAAATAAAGCAAAAAGAATAAATTTATATAAAGTACGTTATTGTTCCATTTTTATCATTACTCTTACTATAATTTCTGAATATTGAAAAATAACGCCCTAGGACCTATTAATTTCAAAAATAACGCCCTAGACCGTTATTTACATTGTAACGCGTATTAAATAAAGGTTGTTATTGAAAAATAATAATAAAGGATGACATAAATTTATTAAGTTTAGTTTCTAAAATCATTAAGTAGAGAGTTATTAAAACGGAAAAAAATAGATAGGAAGTTTTGCCGAATTTGAGGTTACCAAATATAGGTGTCGCAAAATATGACAGTAAAATCGTATAAGTGACGGAATCATGAAAAACTCCCACTAAGGGGTTTCGTTAGCTTAGCACTAAAACTACTCCTACAGTTTATTATTATTATTTTTTTTAACAATTGTCAGTACCACATCGTTCTAAAACGTTTCGTTTTAGAACGATTGCAACATAAAATCTCTCTAGATCAGGTTTAGGTTATGTCGGTCAATGTCAATGTCAGAAAAGATTCACAGATGTAAGCACATTTTATACAAAAAGACAATACTAAAAGACAATAATGATACGGAAAAATTCAATTGAACATAATACAGCTAACCGAGAAACGGAAATTTATTTAATGCGTAACAGTTTATTCAGTTTCAGAATCAGATTCAAAATGTTCAGACCCCCAATCATCTTCCCAATCTGATTCTGCGGAAAGCTGTTGTTATTCGAGGAATGTCTTCAGTTGGTGGATTTCCCATCAATTTTTGTTAATCTTCTCTAATTAGTTCTTCGCAGTGACGAACACTATTCGCCCACATATCAGGGGTAAAATTTTCTAGTGCTGTTGACGACATTTACTTTGTCTTTTCCAGTTTGGGATCAGAAACTGATGGTATATGCTTCTCGCGTATTTTGATAATTTCAAACAGAAGTACAAACCGTCATCTCTTTGGGCGTTTTATTCGATTCTAAGATCAACCATAAACATCAAGCATAATGTGAATATTGAGAACTACCCGAAATTGCGTACTATCTTGAAAAGACTGTCAGATGGCTTCAAAAGTAAGTTTTTTTTCTTATAACATAATTTGTAATTGTTTTTGTTCTAGTTTTTAGGTAACTGTAAATTGTGTTTATTAAACAAATTAATAAGCCATTTTTTAGTTTTTTTATTTATAACTGAGGTCGTAGAAAAAGTAAAGTACACAACTCGAGTGGTAAGCCTCTCCCGAATTATGCCATTCGCTGCGCTTGTGGCTGCAAACTTCGAGGTCGTGTGTAATAGGCCCTTTGCCACTCTTGTTATGTAATATACTATTATAGTGTCCTTTTTTCTCAGAAATTTTTACGAAATCAAAATTATTAAATTCATAGATAATTCTGAAAACGACTGTCAAGTGAACCTAAAAAAAGGATTTTAAGAGGAATGTTTGTGGTTTGGTTAATGATCCTGAAAAAATTCATCAAAAATCTATCCACCTTTACTATAAATTTCTTTTAGTAGCATGGTCGGTTTATCTGTCTGCATTTGTTTGTAAAATCTAACCACAGCTCCTTGCTTTCGGGAACTCATTTTGCTTTTTGTTTAAATTCGAAAGAAGTTGCGGTTTCACGTCAAAATGGCTTACATATGACATTTTACGTTGCCAACCTAACACCATCAAAATAACTAAGGGCTCATACCAACATGTCAACACATGGACAATTGTTTAAAAAAAATACTTTGTCAAATTCTATCATCGCTGGAGTTAAATGGAGAGATAATAATTAAAAATAACAATTCTTTAAATTATTTTATTTATATTTATTTGCTATTCTAAAGGAATATAACAGATTAAAAATAACCAAATTATCGATTGTTGTACAAATTTTCGCATTTTTTTATTTAAAAATTTGTTTTTGCTCAGATCGTTTTTCTTGCAACAAATCTTTGTATTTATTTTTTGCTATCACAGTCCAAATATACTTCTGATGACACTGAAAATTTATTTTCTAAACCTATTGGTAGCTCCAAAGACTGCAGTATTTGCTTTAATTAACTTTTTGATATGTTCCAAACTTGTATAAGGATTGTCTGTAGTTACAATTCTTCATTTTTTGGTCGTTGTGTATTATTATTAATAAAACAAGCTGTTATTCTTTACTAATAAATAAACCAAAAAAAAACATTTAATAAGACATTTATAAATCACAAACAAAAACAAAACCAATAAAAGAAAATTCCATTAAAGCATAACCAACTAAACACTAGAGAAGATGAAAGAAAATTCCTGCCGTGTGTATATATGTAAGCTCGTAATGTTTCCAAATTTTGATCATTTTTTTGTAAAAGTAAGCTAAATGTAGCTTTTTTCTAGTTTTATCAGCCCCGCCCACCCACCCCTTCATCATTCATACTCTTAATATTGTTCAGTTTTATCTTATCAAGTACCAACCCCGCCCATCACCCGCCCTCTATTTTCTTAGAAGGTATATCATTTGCCACAGTCAGTCTTATCTTAGCGAATACTAGCACCACCCACCCACCCGTTATTTTTTTAAAGAGTATGTCATTTACCAAAATCAGTGTTACGTTATCAAGAAGTAGCCCCTCCCCCCGCCCTCTATTTTCTTAGAGGGTATGTGATTTGCCACAATCAGTCTTACCTTAGCAAGTATTAGCTAAGATAAAACTTATTTTGGCAAATGACATATCCTCTAAGAAAAGAGAGGGCGAGTGAGTCAGTCTAATGTTAGTACCTGTTAAGATAAGACTGATTTTGGCAAATGAAATATGACTTAAATGACGTATCCCAAAAAATTTAATTAAATTATTATGAGAAAAGACACTAGACGCACCAAAACACTTTCAAATTCTTTCCAAATAGGAATATCTAGAACCTCAAGATTGTTTTAAATTTTTCAAAAAAAAACGGGGTTCCAATATTTTCTCAAAAACAGGCGAGCTCAGAATGTTCCAAAAATAGAACATCAAAGTCCAAAATTCTTTTAAACAATTTACAAAAAAATTTCCATGGGCACCCAAAATAATACACCATGGGTAATCAAACACTGCGGCACTCAAGACTTTTTCATATTCGTAAAAAATAAAACACTGAAAGCTGAAAAGATTTTTTAAAGTTCATCCAGCAACAAAACATCACAGGGGATCTAAAATTAACTGCGAAGATTTTAAACTTTGACAATTTTTGATACGTCAAAGATTTTTAACTGATTACTCGATTTTTACTGATTTGTACCTTCGCTTTATATAAGGTAAACATTGTTGTCAAATGGAATTGTATCAAATTATTACAAAAACAATACAACCATTCTAAGTGAAATGTTAATTAAACATGGTCATGGTCCAGGGAAATATTAACTAAGTTTTATTACTAGTTATTGTGATAATGAATGTGTTGTTTATTTGTTAAACATAGCAAAAGAACCAATTTTAAAATCATTATAACTCCACCAAAATGTGAAAAGGAATTTTTCTTATCGTTTTTCCCAGACGCACCAGTTGATTGCAAGAGAGCAAATGGAGAGTTAATCCGCTATTTTCCAGACAGCCGGTATATACATATCTCGTAAATTTACATCTTCCTTTCTTTGGAAACAGTCGCTTATTTATTGATATATTTACTCTTTTATCTAACAAATTTAATGAACACCCTTCTGATAACTAGATATTTTATTTCTTTTGTTGATTTTATTTTCAGTTGTTTCAGGAGCTTGTGGAGTAAATCTTCATCAAACTTGACCACAGAATATCCAGTTTCCAAACTCTTCTTCGACTCTTGAATGAAGGCAAGATTAGACAAAAAATGTTTATAGATAGATTATAAATAATCGTGTTGAAAATTTTGTTTCCTTTCAGTGACCTGAAACCCTCATAAAATAGTTGTTGACATACGCAGTACACACACTGACATGTCAAAAAATTTAACAGATTATTACCACAGATACATCCATTGATGAGTTTCTGCTTCAAAGTATTCACAACTAACTTTGCAATACCCAAAAACTTGTGTGGGATTATTCGTTTCAAGAGTTGCATTTGTATTTTTTTTTTATAAGGATCCAACAATTTTTGGTAAAAGGTTAGAGTAAAATTAGAAAAGTTTACACCAACTACTTATTTATGACATTTGTGAATAGGCTTTGAAATCGGCAGTAGCAGTTTCGCTAGCCCCCGGTAGCTTCACATTTTCAGCACAGTTTGTGCATCAAAAAAATACTTATCATCATATCAAAATAAAAAGCACTACTAAACGAAAATTAGTGGATTTATATTTATAACCCAAATTAAAACTGACGCAATCAAAAAATTAACTGTATCATTACCAATGTTCGCGTCCTGAGAACAAAAAGGTTCCAAGTACTACTTTATCACACGTCTTAGTGAACTCTATGCTTCACAGGTAATAATTTATTATCTGTATTATTATCACTATTACAAACTATACTTTAAAAAATAGACTATAAAGCCATAAGTTTCAGCTAACTACTCAGTAATCAAAATGTCAAAAATAGTAGCAGTACTACTAATTTGCACCTCACTATGTGTGTTCGTGAACACATTTCCTCAAAACCAAGGTACTACTCTATACAATAGTTCGTGCTAATATGTTCGTTTTCTTTGATTTTTATTTAAGGAACCCGAATCATTGGTGGAGAAGTAGCTCCAGCTGGACAATTTCCCTGGCAGGCGGCAATTTATGTAACAACTGCTGATGGGCAGTACTTCTGTGGTGGAGCACTTGTAGCTCCTGACTGGGTTCTAACAGCTGCACAGTGCGTGTATAAGTAAGACTTAACATTTACTTTAGAACATCAAACTAAAGTGGAAAAATTTAGTGCGATTCAGTTCACAATTCAGTTGGGATCAAACAGTCTAAAAACAAGCGATGAAAATAGACTAATAGTGTCTACATCGTTATACACAGTACATCCTGACTACAATCCACAGACTCTAGAACACGATATCGGACTTATTAAGTTTCACATGCCAATCACCTACACGGGTACATATTTACATATTTAAAGAAAAATTTTAACTTGACGTTTTAGATTACGTCCAAAAAATTAACATGGCAAACATGGGACAAATATTTGATGGAATTGGTGTTACGGCGTCAGGATGGGGGCAAACCAGTGATGGTATGTCAAGAAATACATAATCTTGGTTTTATATTAGCAATCTACTTTGCTTGCAGACAATGCTGAACTTACTGATGAATTAAATTTCGTAAATTTGGTAATAATATCTAACACTGAGTGTCAGATAACTTATGGCAGTCAAGTTAAAAGCGGCATGGTTTGTGCTGTCGGTAACTACAATGAGGGTATTTGTCTTGTAAGTAGGAGAATTGGATGATATAATTTTATTATAATTTTTTTTTGTGAAAGGGTGACACTGGTAGTCCTATTATTAAACCTGGAATTAAGGGAGAACCCCTTCATGTGGGAATTGCGAGTTTTATGAGTCTAAATGGATGCGAAACTGCTGAACCAACGGGATACACAAGAACGGATGTATACCATCCCTGGATTTCAAACGTAACAAAGGCTCCCTAGATTTATATTACAAATTTTTACAGAAAATTCATTGTTACGTGATTTATATTAAAGCTATAATTGCATAGACAACTGTAATTGGCATATTTTCCCACGACCATTCATTAAAATGTTCGGATTGTACACGTTAAAAAAGTTTAATATACGATTTCATTAAAATATTTGTTTGGTGATTATTTCATTGGTACTATTTTAAGTGTAAATAAGTATAAATACCATTTTTGTAGAATTAGTGTTTAACAAATGTATCATATTACGTAATATATGTGACTTTTAGAGAACAAATGGTTAAACCTACAACGCAAAACAAATTTTGACAATCGTGGTCGTAAAGATTACTCAACAGGGTCATAAAAATAGCTACTTTTTAGATTTCTTATCACGACTAGATATCCTCTGAACGAATAAATCTTGCCCAATAAAGTCAAGCACCGAATATCACTCTAATCACAAAATTACTCATCTCCGATTCAGCAATTACGTATTTCTGATAATACCTTAGATTAAAACGAACGATTAAAACTTTAGCTATAAACCTGGCAACAAAAAGAGAACTCTTAATAAAATATTTCCGTTATATTCATAATATGAAGAGCGCAATTCTGCTTTTGTGCCTTTTTACGCTATCCATAAACGCTTCATTTATTCAGCTGCCAAGAGTCACCCTCGACAAAAAAACAATCAAAAATGCAAGAATTATCGGCGGACAAGTGGCCTCCCCAGGTCAATTTCCCTGGCAGGTCGCTATCTACAAGAACACAACAGACGGAAGATTCTTTTGTGGGGGAGCCATTATTAACGAACAATGGATTCTAACTGCAGCTCAATGCGTATACGCGTAATGAGGATTGAGTTATTTTGCGCAAATGGGTAATATTTTATTTTGTAGGGCGACTCAGCTTACTATCCAATTAGGATCTAATCAGTTGCAAGGATCCGATGACGGCCGCGTAACTATTACCTCTTCTACGTATTTTTACGAGCCACGTTTTGATCCAACACTAGGAGTTGCCCATGACATTGCTCTTATCAAAATAGAAGAACCTTTAACTTTTACAGGTATAAATACAACGCAACCGTTTTCAGATATATATACTTTAATGAGTGTTATTTGCGCTAGATTATGTTCAACCTATTGGATGGGCTTATATTGGTCGCCTCTATCCCGGAAAGGTTGTAACTGCTTCAGGGTGGGGGCAAGTTAGTGACGGTAAGAATTGCTACTGTATGTTAATGTATGGCACTGGTTTAGTTAACAATCATAGATAAAGTATGAAGTGGTACATTTTTTTAATCTGGGTGTGCGATATGTGTTCTCAACTCTTAATATATTTTTAGCGGATTCCACTTTAGAAAATGACCTCAGTTACGTTGAAATGACAGTTTTTGACCAAATCGAGTGTCAAGCGTATTATGGCTCCCAATTAGAAGATACCATGATTTGTACTGTGGGAACTACAAATCAAGGAACATGTTATGTAGGAAACATTTTATGCATTTCTTAGTGATATAGCAATAATCTTTTTTTTCTGGTAAGGGAGATATTGGTGGTGTACTAGTAACAAAAGCACTGGACTGGCTAGGAGATTTTACAGTAGCCGTGGCTATTTCCAGCTGGATGAGTCAAAATGGTTGTGAAAGCTCAGATCCGAAAGGGTTTACAAGAATAGATGCTTACATTAGCTGGATTGTAAATACCACAAGAGACAATTAAATTTATTTAATAAATGTATGCCTAATCCCTACAGCTTACTATTCAAAAGTGAAACATAACGTAACGTGTACACTTATTTTCCGTTTGTTTCCTACATTTATATTCTGATTAAATGCGTAGCAACAAAGTTTACACCATTTTTTAGTGTGAATTTCTTTTAAAACTAAGTGCCTTTGTCTTTTGTGTGAAATACTGTCGCCTTGATCCTCGGTAATAAGCTCTGTGCCTCCAGCTTACAGCCAGTAAGTACTTGAGAAATGTGGTCCAGAATAAACACACATTCTCGACTGGACACACATCTCGGGCACCAGTTTTTTTTTGGAATTACAATAATTAGAAACCAGAAAATTTAGAAGAAACTGTAGAATAAACTGCTTACTGTTACTTTTATACTTGCGCTACGTTTTCTACTAAAACTGATGATGATGCGAATATAGTAACTAATGGAAGATATGACAAGTAAGTCAAAACGAAACCATGGAATACAACCAACAGCATCCAAATATACTGTTTTATAAATAAATAAATCAATAAATTTATTGATCCCAACCGGACAAACCCAATTACAGGAATCAAAAATTGGTATAAAGAGTTTAGAAAGTACTTCCCTCGCTGTCGGAAACATGACCACTGCACGCCTATTATGTTTTTTTTTTTCTCATTTCAGCGAGTAAATTATTAAAAATGATCCACAATTGGAAAGCGAGAAGGGAGTAAAGCAAGGATGCACCGGCTGCACTTTAGACGGGTGGGCTGGATGAATAAATTTCGACCGCCCAGCTTTATTTATAAACAACGACGTCATAGCAAAACGCATCTGTGCACGATGTTCGACGTCCCGCATGCTGTTGAATGCGCCAAGGTCATCAAAAACGGTTATGAGTGCAAAAAATTTATTTACAGCACATTATCAACGGAAATACATTACATCGGAAGAATGTCACGTAGACATTTGTTTGATTTGAATGAGTTTAGAGCCCCAAAGCAGATGACTAAAATTATTTATAAGCCTCCATTGAACAAAATATTCTGAATGTTATTACTATAAATCTTACCTTATCATTATTTTATTGTTATAAAGAGGAGTGTATTATCGCATTTTCCAGAAAATGGGGTGGCTCGTTCTTAATTTGATCAATAATATAAGTTGACTGATTCATTTTTTTGAGTCACCTGTTTAAGCAAATATGAATGCAATGATTAAAAGTCTGTTCATATTTTGCACATTTGCGAAAGAATTTATTCGGCAAAATGTTGAGATGCCGTAATCAATTTTTTTTGGTTGATAAACAGATACATTTTCATTAAAAGGTTACCATGCTTACAATAACTTCAAAACGTCAAGATTTCAAAGTATTTAGTTTTGCAATTCTTGATTTAATCAATAAAATAAATTGACTCAGCTATTAATTTTTTTCACACACCCTGTATAACCAACTCTAAAAAATATTTATGCAGTGATAAATCACAATTATAGACTCATCATACTTTGCACAATAGACATTTAAGATGATTTTTTTAGGCAAATATGGATTTTGCCATTAAGCTCCGCCCCTCGATTGGACAACAAACGAAAAATTCATCACACAGAGATCCGGGTGGGCCGGTGGGGCTTAATCATGGGCTTCTTTTTCTTAATATATTGAGTTTTCTTTCAACAATACGATACTTAAAACATAAGTCTAACCTCGAATTCAACATTTGATATGTTTTAAGTGTTTTATTGCTGAAAGAAGACAATGTATATCATGAAAAGAAAATCAAAGAATTAACCCCACCCACCCACCCAATCTCAATTGTGGTTATTTTTTTTATTCGTTGTCACACGGGAGGGTGGAGCTTAATTGAAAAGTTCGTATTTCCGTAGAAACAATTGCCACAGTTCAACAAAATCAAAATTAAGCCCCACCCACCCACCCCTATCTTAATTGTGATGAATGCTTTATTCGTCAATTGCGAAGTCTATATATTTGAGGCATGATCGTCTTGTAGAGAATAGACTATTTCGAAAAATTTGGTCGAAATTTGTTTCCACCGAACTTCCCTCGCTTGTGAAGTACAGTCCAACAAATACTGCTTAGGTTTTACATTTAAAAAAAAAAGACAGTTGGGACACCCGAGAAGATTTCACATTCTTAAAAAAAAGATTTTTTTCTACTTTGCGTTAACAATGGCCTCATTATTAAACCGAAAACAGTTTAATAATGGGATCAATTGTTAAACTGTATTTCAGGTGGCGTGCAAGAAGTGGGGCCCCCTTCTTCCATTTTTTGAGGCAAACTTAGGTTAGATTGTTAGTGTTCGGTGGTTAGACAGAGATTTCTTAGTAACCTAGATATGGCTATGGGCAGCAAAGTGTGGAAGAACATGTATGAAAATAGTGTCGACATACTTTCAGTTGTCTGTCTTTCTCTTACTCGTTGTAATGTGCACTACATACTAGTGTTATCTTCTTCTAATTCTAGCGACTGTTAACATTGGTTGATAATTTGGCGCACTGATTTAAAATGGTATAAAAGAGAATCAAAACTCGAGTTTTTTAACAAGTGGCAAACGAAAAGTTTCTAAGCAATCTCCAAAATGATTTGTAATGTTAATATTAAAATATTACACCGACAAGATCGTTGGAATAAATTTGACTGTCGACTTCCCTTTTTTCGTACTTTTTCTTTATCATTCACACCGGCGAAACTCTTGAAAAATGACATAATACAATTTTCTTATAGTCAAAAGTTTTTGTTGCCACGAACGTTTCTAACATAAATAGAGAATCGTATTGTATTTATTTGCATGCACAATGTTGAGAGCTTAAAACGAAAAAGAAAAAAGACGTACAGCTGTGGTATAAATTTATTAACATTATTATTAAATATTGGTGATTTAATGTAATCTTAGTTACTCATTATTAAATAAAATGTATTTTACTAATTTACTTCTTATTCTCGCCTGTTTTGAAGCAAAATTTACCAGTTTTGCTTCGTGATGCAAGCGGACTTTTAAATACATTTGCGCTATTGCCTTCATCAATTGTATTTTGTTGTTATCTAGTAATCCCTGAGAAATGCAATGATTGTTCATGTCGGGATTATTAAAAATCTTTGTAATATTTTTGCGAAACAAAATAATTATTAGATCTTTCTTTGCATACAACACACACTCTGTAACCCATTTGTAGAAATTCTATGCAATTTAAACTTATAACCGTGATATAAATCTTATAACCTAAGAAATCTCTTAGAACAAACTAACAAACACACAAGCACCGGCGATTGTATGAATTAAGAACCGACTTGCGCTAGCAGAATTTAAGGGTTTACTGCGCAAAATCGTAAATTGCTAGGTTTAAACAAAGACCTACAAAATCATACTCCTGCGTTCCCATGCTGTAAAAGAAGATGGAAAGCAAAACGCATAGTGTACATGTTGGCCAAGAACGTATGTTCGCTTTTGCATAGGATCACCATATCTAGGTTACTAAGAAATCTCTGTGGTTAGATGCCAAACTTTGACATTGTGAAGTTAGCCACAACGCTACAACTAACCTTTCGAATTAAAAGGCCCTAAATTATAACCTTGAATTTTTATTAATTTTTTGTTTCCGATCAGATGCAAAGTAGAAAAAATAGTACATTATATTCGTTTAATAAGACGCATTGTGGCACTTATTCCTTTATTTCCAAACCCATGCGTGCCACAATAAGACGTCTTATTAAACTAGTATAATAATATACTATTTTTTGGCAAATATGGATTTTGCCATTAAGCTCCGCCCCTCAATCGGACAACCAATGAAAAAATTTATCACACGAAGGTCCGGGCGGGTGGGTGGGGCTTAATTATTGGCCTGTTTTTCTTAATATATTGAGTTCTCTGTCAACAATACGATACTTAAAACACAAGTCTAACCTCGAATTCCACATTTGCTATGTTAAGTGTTTTATTGCTGAAAGAAGACAATGTATATCACGGAAAAAAAGTGAAAGAATTAACCCCACCCACCCACCCCACCTCAACTGTGGTTATTTTTTTATTCGTTGTGACACGGGACGGTGGAGCTTAATTGAAAAGTTCATATTTCCCTACAAGCAATTGTCATATGGAACAGATCAACAAAATAAAAAATTAAGCTGATGATTAAAATTTAAAATTTTGGGGTGGGGTGATCAATTTTTTTGGGGGGATGAGCAAATATATTTTGATCAAAAATTTGCCATGCCTATGATAACTTTAAAACAACTCCAGGACTTCAAAGCATTTGGTTTTGTAGTTCCTGATTAAATCATTAAAATAAATTTACGCATTTATTAATCTTTTGAGTCACTCATTATACATGAATCCAAAAAAATATGAATGAAAATAAATCACAACTATTGTTTCATCATACTTTGCACATTTAAGATAGGATTTATTCAGCAAAATTTTGGGGTGACGTCATCAATTTTTAGGGGGGATCAGGAAATATATTTTGACTAAAAGTTTACCATGCCTGCGATGACTGTAAAATATCTCCAAGTTTTCAAAGCATTTGGTTTTGTAGTTCCTGATTAAATAAATAAAATATATTCACGCATTGATGATTTTTTTTAGTCACCCTGTATATGCAAATCGAAAAAATATGAATGGAATGATAAACTGCAACTACAGACTCATCATATTTTCTCCATTTTAGAAAGGATTTATTCGGCAAACTTTTCAGGTGACGTAATCAATTTTTTGGAAGGGACAAGTAAATATAACTTGAATAAAAACTTAGCATGCTTATCATAACTGTAAACCATCTGCAAGATTTCGAAGCATTCGGTTTTACAGATTCCAAATGAAATGTCAAAATGTTGTTTCCTAATTTTGATTTGTTTTCCAAAAGCTGGACGTTTCGGATAAAATCTCAATTCGAAGTCATAAACTAGATGTGTAAGACTATGTTATTTGATACAATTTAAAACCCATTTCCTATGTACAATTTTGAAGTGACGTTATCACATTAGTGGTGGGGATGATTAGACAAATTTTGGTTAGCCTTTTACCATATACATAATATACCTAATATAAATGCAAAATTTGACAATAATCGGCCCAGTACTTTCGGAGATTATCTGACAGACAGACAAACGGAAACAAGGGACCTATTTCTTCGACC